GTTGGAAATGACAACTGGTATAAGAAAAGGAAATTTTAAAAAAGAAAATCGTATTCCGGTATTTTGCTTGTGGTCCTTCATTTTTAAGTTTGGGGATTGACTAGAACTCCGGGAGTTTTTCGAAGACCTTATAACTTCTGGAGACTCTAAAAAGAGAATCAGGCAACTGCAGTGGCCTGCTGTGAGATGGAGGTTCTGATACACACTTTGTATTCGATCTCATGTAAGAATTCTCATGATAACCAGAGTAGTCATACGTGATAGAACACATTTCCCCGGCCACATACGCAAGGGGGAAATCTTCAAAGAATGGATCAGCTGCCTCTGATCATTCTGATCATTAGAAATAAAAGTTTTGTCTTAATAGATTCTGCAGGAGGGCTCTGGCATAGGCAGGAATTCTGGGGCATGTCCATGAAGAGAGGGCACCGTGGGAAAGTTACCCCCAGGCCAGGCAGGGCAGCCAGGCTGGGAGGGATGGTGTGTTGTAGGCGTGTGGCTGGGGCTGAGCGCCTGTCCTCACTCCCATGCAGCAGCTGGGAACAGCAGGCGAGCCCCTGCCTCCTGCCCTGTCGCCCAGCCCCTCTGCTATGAAAGTGTAACCATGAAAATGAGGCAACAAATTGATAACCTGCCCACGAAGCCTTCTTGCCCCTGCCAAGGGCAGAAAATGTTTTTACCCGTTTTACCAGGTCCTGACTTTGATGTAAAATAGATACCAATGTGTGGCTCAGTGGTTGAGCGTTGACCTATGAACCAGGAGGTCGCAGTTCCTTTCCCGGTCAGGACACATGCCCGGGTTTCGGGCTCGTCATTGGTGTTTCTATCTCTCTATCCTTCTCCCTTCCTCTCTGAAATCAATAAAAATATATTTAAAGAAAAAAAGATGGGGACCAGGAAGAATTGCTCGATCCCCAGTAGGGGGCGTGCCAGAGGCAGCCGGTCAATGATCCTCCCTCATCATGGATGTTTCTCTCTCTCTTGAAATCAAAAAACATATATTTTTAGCCGAAACCGGTTTGGCTCAGTGGATAGATTGTCGGCCTTCGGACTGAAAGGTCCCAGGTTCGATTCCGATCAAGGGCATGTACCTGGGTTGCGGGCACATCCCCAGTGGGAGATGTGCAGGAGGCAGCTGATCAATGTTTCTCTCTCATCGATGTTTCTAACTCTCTATCTCTCTCCCTTCCTCTCTGTAAAAAATCAATAAAATATTTTTTTAAAAAAAGAAACATGTATTTTTAAAAAATAGAATAGAAATCAACTCAGATGCCGACATGCCTAGGGAGGTGAACTCACAGGAACTTAGGGGAATTGGGGCAACCCTGTCCTTGAAGACCTGGTTGGCTGCAAAGAACATTAAAGAGAAACACTCTCTGGTTTCTCGGATGATTTGAGATTTCTCGGATGACTATCGAATTTGGAATGGATAACAGCTTTGTGACTTTTTTTCTCCAAGAGGGAGAATAAATGTTGAAACGTTTGGCTCTCAAAGCATCTGCAGTGTTGGGCATTTTGTTCAAGTCTCGTTAGAAAGTCCTGTCAAACTGCCTGCCCATTCCTTTGTGATGACTTTTGTTTGGAAGGGAGCCATATTTCGATTCCCGTGACCATATCTCCCACATATAAAAGGTATTTTCCCTCTAGCTTCCTTCCTTCCCCTGGCTGGGTCCTTCCGGATCGAATACGTTTGCTCAGAATTTGCCCTGGAAAATCCGTGGATTTCCTGTGGCCAGTTATTCAGAAAAGGAAAGGTAGACAGAGGGGGTAAGTGAAGGTGTTTGCAAACACATTCACTCTTCATTCACTCAGTTATTTTCATTCACTCAGTGTATAAACCACTAAAACATACATGGCACCGTGTTACTTGCTGGAATTAAAGAAACGAATAAAAACCAGCCCCTTAAAGATTTCCCCCATGTTTTTTTGTGTGTGGTATTTTTTCCCCATTTCTTTATTTCATTTCATTTCCTTGCATTCTTTTTTAAAATATATTTTTATTGATTTCAGAGAGGAAGGGAGAGGGAGAGGGAGATAGGAACAACAATGATGAGAGAGAATCATTGATTGGTTGCCTCCCGCACGCCCCACACTAGGGATCGAGCCCCCAACCCGGGCATGTGCCCTGACCGGGAATCGAACCATGACCTCCTGGTTCATAGGTCGATGCTCAACCCCTGAGCCATGCGGCCGGGCTCCTTGTATTTTTTTAGCTATTGATTGGGGAGAGTTTTTAATAGGGACTTCATCAGGAATTCCTCCTAAGAGACTCGTTTGTGAGAGCAGCGCCTCTCCAGTGTCAGAATAGGTCAGATTGTTGTGTGGTTCTGGGCAGGAGGGAGGGACAGCCTCGAAGCTAAAGTAGGAACCTCGAGTCTCAGCTTACTTTCTAGCTGGGAGTGCCAGCCAGTCATTCCCTTCCGCACGACTCCATCCCTGGCGCCCGGTTAGCAGTCTCTAGGATCCTGGCGGGTAGACGCCAAAGAATGGGCGGGTTCTCTGTAACCTTTGTCAGTCTTTGCAATCACGAGGAAAATGCTATACAAATAGCAGGGAGCCTGTCATTGATGATCTCAAAACCTTTCTGAACCCGTGAACGCAGAGCCGTGTGGTCATGACAAGTGATTTTTTACCCTTTGCTGTTTCCTTTCTCCTCTAACCCAATGGATTCCAAAAACGTTGCTAATTAACTCGACTAAACTGTGCTGGTCTTAGGAAAGCTCCCAGAATGGGCTGGCTTGACCTTTGCGTTGCTCACACAGCTAATACATTCAGGAGAAGCCCCAGATTGATGAGAAGGGTTCCTGCCGCAAACTGCCTTTCCAGAAATCTATAATTATCGATGCTGGTGCATTTCCCTGTTAGACACACCAAAGCTGGCAATAAGCTCTTTTTTATGATACTCTTAGGGGTACATGCACATATGATAAAATATTTAAAAACAAGCCTGGCCGGCGTGGCTCAGTGATTGAGCATCGACCTATGAACCAGGAGGTCATGATTCAATTCCTAGTCAAGGCACATGCCCGGGTTGCGGGCTCCATCCCCAGTGTGGGGCGTGCAGGAGGCAGTTGATCAATGATTCTCTCTCATCATTGATGTTTCTCTCTTTTTCTCCCTCTCCCTTTCTCTCTGAAATCAATAAAAATATTTTTTGAAATGATAAAAAATAAGAACAAGACAATGGCCAACACCGAGTTCAGGATTGTGGCTGCATCAGAGGAGCGTGGTAGGGCACGGGATCAAGCATAAATTCACAACAGCTTTAATGCAGGATTTCAAACTCGTGGGACTGTCAGCATGCGGGCAGGCTCAGTCTTTGCTGTGGGGACTGCTCTGCGTTTTTGCAGCGCCCTTGAACTCTACCCACCTGATGCTAATAGCGCTCCTGTCACCAGTTGTGACAAACAAAAATGTCTCCAGATAGAACTCATGTCCCCCGGGGACAAGGGGACAAAATTGCCACTGATTGGGAAGCACTGCTTTAATAGATTGTTAAGCCCTGGCCGGGTTGTTCAGTGGTTAGAGTGCCAGCCTGCGGACCAGTGTTACCAGTTCAATTCCCGATCAAGGGCTTGTACCTTGGTTGCAGGTTCCCAGCCCCAGTTAGGGTGAGTGTAGGAGGCAGCCAATCAATATGTCTCTCTCATGTCATTGTTTCTCTCTCTCTCTTTCTCTCTCTCTTTTCCCCTCCCCCTCCCTTCCACTCTCTCCAGGAATCAATGGGAAAAATATCCTCAGGTGAGGATTTAAAAAAAAAAAAAAAAGAATGGTTAAGGTTCTAGTTTTTAGAAAGATGGAAGGTTCACAGGTGTCTATAGGTATATGGTGCTTCCTAATTGTAGTTTACATATACCCTCTTGAATCTATAAATGTTCAGTCATAAAATTTATTAAAGCTGATGATAATATGCTTTCAACAGGTGGCTTTCTGGAAATAAAATTGCAGGTGGGATTTGTTTGACTTTCATGATGATAATCCACAGAGAATGTGGAACTTTATTCTTTTTTACTTTTAACCACAAGGTACTAGCGTACTTCCTCTTGTGTCATTATGATGAGTATTTTGACAGGATGCTTATTTTAAATCTTCAAAATTTGGAACATTTCATTGTGCAATTTGTGCAACTTGCTAAAAATTGCATGAGTTTTCAGGCTAGAGCTGAATATTTTTAGTCAAATATTAAATATATACAGGGTGTCCCCAAAAATATATACACACATTTGAGTAATTATAAAGGCAGTGTTTATTACAATACACTTCATTTTCATTTAACAGCTGTGTGGCTCCGTGGCTGAGCATCAACCTATGAACCAGGAGGTCAGGGTTTGATTCCCAGTCCAGTCACGTGCCCGGGTTGCGGGCTCCATCCCCAGTAGGGGGCGTGCAGGAGGCAGCTGATCAGTGATCTCATTATTGATGTTTCTATTTTGCCCTCTCCCTTCCTTCTAAAAATAAATAAAATATATACAATGTGTGTGTGTGTGGTATATATATATATAATATATATATATATATATATGTGTGTGTGTGGGTGGGTGTGTGTATATATATATATACACACACATATACATATATATATGGTGTGTACACATTTTTGGGAGGATATCTTGTATATATAAATGTTGTGGGGCTTCTAGAATTATGTGTGCATAAAATAAAGTACAAAATTATCTGATTAATACCTTAAAAATAACAGTAAAGACACAGAATGCCCTCCAAAACCAGCTTAAATTACAAGTAATTTAGCCCGGCTGGCGTGGCTCAGTGGTTGAGCATCAACCTATAAACCAGGAGGTCACTGGTTGGATTCCCGGTCAGGGCACATGCCTGAGTTGCAGGTTCGATCCCCAGGATGGGGTGTGCAGGAGGCAGCTGATCGATGATCCACTCTCCCTGAATTGGGGTCCATGCACACCACAAGGATTGGGGCGGTGGCTGACTGGTTGCTCGTTCAGGGCCTGGACACAGAGGCTGACGGCATCTCCTTGAACTCCTAGGCGCCGAGGTGACCTACATGAACATGTCCGCCTACAACAAGGGCCGGCTGCAGTCCTCCTTCTGGATCGTGGACAAGCAGCACGTCTACATCGGCAGTGCTGGCCTGGACTGGCGTTCTCTGGGACAGGTAACCCTCCCGCTGCGCATGCACACACTCAGTTTTCTCAGCATCAAAACTGCCCCGTCCCTAAAGCACACAGTCACCTCTGCTGTGGTTGAAGGAAATCAACCTACAGCATTCATTATTATTTTTAAAAAATATATTTGTATTGATTTCAGAAAGGAGTGGAGAGGGAGAGAGAGAGAGAAATGATGAGAATCATTGATCGGCTGCCTCCTACACACCTCCTACTGGGGATGGAGCCCGCAACCCAGGCATGTGCCCTGACCGGGAATCAAACCTGTGACCTCCTGGTCCATAGGTCGGTGCTCAACCACTGAGCCACACCTGGCTGGGCTCATTGTTAATTTTAACTGTACTGTTTGATGAGGGTCACCTTTAGTTAATGTGGAATGGTAGGCCTTTCCCTGTCAGAATCATCTTACAAAAAAAAACCTGCTTTAGGCTTTTGTAACTCAGATGCATTAGATTCTTTGGAGCAGGCCAGGGTGGGATTCCTATTACCTAAACCTAAATTTCCAGGATCCGATTACGTAATCTACGAGATAGAGGAAAACATGTACATTGTGTAACATAGTATGTTTTAGAATAGGAATTTGTGTAATTATTTTAATAAGTTTTAAGATGAAGATGTCATCTCTCAGCAAATAATCAATTTCAAATTTGAATTTTGAAAGTACACTTGAACGGTCTTGTACTTTTCATGTATTTATTTGTGTCCACGTGACCGATAGTGGATTACATCACCTTCTTCCCATTGGCCAACCGGTGGCAGGAAGTGCTGGATCATTGGTGCACAGGGAGACTTGCCCATCTCCCGGGCACAGGGCCCACACGTACTACATTTTAGCTCAGCTCTGTAATAGTAAGGCGGAGGCAACCTTGGGTAGGTTGGACAAAGGCCGTAGGCTTGAATAAAATATCTGCGTTGGTGAGAAATCTTTAAGCTGCCGGTGATTTGGGGCCAATATGGGACGTCCTACAGAAATCTGCATCCCTCTGTTGG